GTGGTTCTTTAAATGCTCTATTTAGTGCTACATCCAGAACGATGTTAAAGAGTAGCGGCGAAAGTATACACCCCTATATTATCTGTTATAGATATTAATTATTAGAATATTTTTTATAGTTTTCTGGGACACATTTTTATAAATTTTACAGTTATTTTTTGATTTATAATAAAGTTTCAATAAAATTATTTTTTTTCATTTAAATCACATGATTAAAAGAAAAATCACTTGATTTAAATCACGATTTAAATCATGCCAACCCTGCTTCTTGCTATAAAAAGAAGAAAAAAAAATCTTTAGCATAGTAAACCCCTGGAGTGTCCTCTTAGCATTCATGTAAAAGAAAATTTCAAAATTCGGTTGTTGTTTTATTCGCTAATGTCCAGCATTTCTCAATTTCGTCACACTGTGCGGCGTTTCGAACTGATGCCTCAAATGGACAAAGTCATCAGGATTTTCTCATCATTTCATCTCTTTTGTCAATTATGGGTCGATTGAAACCAAATTCGGCATGTGTATAAAGGTATCCGAATGGAGTTAACAAATTTTGTCCGATATATATCTAATATATATCCGATATATATCAAGTTTTGATATTTATTTTTGTTTTAATTTTTTATGTAAAACTGGGTTTAGTATCAAGTAAAATCAAGAGCTCAAGAAAATATTTTTATTTCAACTTAATTGTTGTTGCTTTGCACATAATAGGAACAACATTAAAACAAAAATGTATAAAAAAATATACAGAAATTCTAAAAAAATAAACAGAACTTCTAAAAAATAAATAGGAATTCTAGAAAATAAACAGAAATTCTAAAAAATAATCAGGAATTAAAAAAAATAAACAGATATTCTAAAACTAACAAAAAACAAATTTATATTTGATTTATTAATTTTATTAATGGTAAATCATCGTCAGATTCGTTAGAGTCAGCATCAATTATTGATACTGTTTCTGGCAAAGTTTTTGGTACATTTGAATTGTCCCAGATCCAATCAATGTTATCTTTTTTGTTTTTTTCTTTCTGATTGTTGTATTTAAATAAAAAGGTCAATTTTCCAGCTTTTTCGTTCCCAAGCCTATTACGCAGTTTCGAGTCCAAAAGATGAGAAAGTCCTCTCAAGAGATACATTAGACGCAGTCGCAGTGAGCAGCTGTTTACATAAGGACAGGAAGTCGTTCTTATGTGGCCAAGTTGAATCATCCATGACAATTCCTTTCCACCACACCATAGCAGCTGTATTTTTAAACTGAGATCCAATTTTTAACGTAGAAACCAGTAGCGGCTCGTCAGGGTAGGCAAGGTGGGCGGCGCCTACCCTAAGATTTTGGCAGAATTGAATCGATTTATTACATTATTTACTATTAATGTTGCCAATACATAAAAATACTGTTAATACACGGAAGTGTGTTTTAATAATCAATACTATTTTAATATTTGTGGTCTTGTATATTAACGATATTAACATATTCACTACCGCTGGCGTACGCTGACCGCTGACTGCTGACTGTGACTGTGCCGCTGCGTTAGTTAGAAAACAAAATAATTTTGACCGTTGGAGTGCCTTTGTTCGGCGATTTCTACATCGCCTACTATCAGAGTCAATGCACGACGTACGGCAGTCTTCTGTCTCTGTCTAACTCATTGTGCAGTAGCGACGCGACGTAAGTCGGAGTTGTATCATACTAGGGCGGGGCTTAGGCGAAATCTCCGGTCGCCTTCGCATGAAGTCGTGGAGGCTCGGTAGGCTTAGATGTTAAGGGGATATTCCGGATATTTTCATAAGGAGATATATCACATTTCGTTAAGGGGATATTTCATATGATTCATTATACGTAGCATTTAAAACTTTTATATGAAAATTCAAAAAACGTTTCAAGCAAATTAGACACATTTTTCGGGCTTGTCCGAGATTATTAAAAATGATATAATCGGTTGTATTTCAGAAAACGCCACACAAATAAAAGAATCCGAAATAAAAAAGCGCGTTATTTTATTCCGTGCAAGAAGACGATACAACAGATATTACAGAAAAGTCTCTGTGCTATTTCAATTCGATATGTTAATAAAAGCGGCTAAGTCAAATATCTTTGCGAATTTTATTTCATGAAATATTAGATAACATTGTTATACATTTAGAAATAAAGTTTGCAGATAGGTACTCGTATGTCTCAATTATTTTTATTTATCTCTTGCGGATCCTAAATTTAAAGAATCCTATAAAAAATTTCCAACGCATTTAACATCTGATTTAACAAACTTGTTATAACAATGTGATTTAACAAACAAAAAATGTTATTGACCAACATAAATTAATGAATAAATTGCAGGTATTAATAATAGATATAATTTCGAGCATAAAATAATTTAAGGAGAATAATCCTGGAAATATATTTCCAGAGGCTTTCAAATTGTTTGTTTTGTTTGTTACTACACTATTTACAAGTACTTGGGTTGAGAGACATATTTCATGTTTGAAATGCATTAAAATTTATAGTAGAGATTCCATGAAAAATAAACGTTTATCGCCACTTGCCTTATTTTCAATCTAAAAAGATCTTTTCACAGCTCTTCAACAATCTGATGATTTTACTGATATAATATTAAATAACTTTTCTTTATTAAGAGACCGACCCATCAATTTAATATATAAAACATAATTATTCTTTCTCTCAATACTACCAATTTTTAAGTTTGTGTAAATAAATAAAAATACTCAATAGTGACTCCAGAGCAATAGAAAAAAAAATAATAGATTAATAAAAACTATACTTGTACATTATGTCAATCATTACTATGTCATTACGTTGAATGTTGTTATTTTTTCTTTAGTTTTGTCCTAAATATTTTTGAGCTATGTATGTTTTTAACCCAGAGATAACATATATTTACAAACTGGGCTAGGGTATTATGTAAATTAGGGGGGGGGGCAAATAGACGCAACTAAAATTTGTCGCCTACCCAGTCACGCGGGTCACGAGCCGCCACTCTTAAAAAAAGCCGTAGAAACTTAAGAAAAGAGTTGAGTTTTATTTTTTTTATTTTTTTATAAATATCATGATATATATCAAGGTATAAATATCATGATATATATCATGCCAACCCTGCCAAAAATGTCGACAGATGCACCAGGGATGTGCATATAAAAAACATGTGCGCTACTGATTTTTTTTTCATGGCAAAGTTGTCTAGGCCGTTTGCGGATAAAAAGTTGTCTGAATATCGTTATTTTGTTGACTTCGATGAGATAAACGCGATTTTATTAACCACAATTAACAAAATTAAAATAAAATTAATAAATAATTATTTATTTAATCTAATTTATTATTAAGTTTTATTAAAATTTATAACACTGATGTTCAATCAGTGGCGCATCTATTAGAGTAAAGTACTATAGGTTTAAATTAAATTTGTGCGTTGAAATGTTTTGTGACTCTGTGAAAAAAAATATTTTTGGGTTGGTCTGATTTTTTATTGTGATTGTTATTAATAATTTCTTTTATTATAATTTTATTTTATACCCCATTTTGTCTTACTTATAAATTTCTTTCTGGGCAGGGGTAATTACCATCATTGCCCCTTCCATATATGCACCCCTGTATTGAGTCAGTGTCTCTACAACAAATTAAAAAAATAATGGTATTTAGGATAATCTCAAGAAACCTACCTATTTTTTTTAATTTTTAACATCCCCCTGTAACTTTAAAACTATACATTTCCTCACCTATGTTTATAGGAACTTTTTTCATATTTTTATGAGAAGTCAATGAGTACCAATGTTCCACATTGGCCAGTTAATAACATGACAAAAAATTTTAAGGTTGCTTAAATAATTATCTGCCAACCCCTCACTCTGAGTTAGTAAAGAGTTCCATATTGTACAATGCAAAAAAAATGCACAATCATCTGCCATCTGAAATTAATTCCATTTCATCCTTTCCTGCATTTCGCAGAGTCTTGAGATCATACTTACTGGAGAAAGCCTTTTACGCGGTTAACGATTTTTTTATTAATATCTAGGGTTCTAAATTTAACACACATTCACTAAATTTAAGAAATGATTTTGTTTTCTATCCATTTAAATTTAGTATTGACATTATATACAGTTGTTTATTTACATGTATGTTTATATTTTATTTATATTTAATTAAATTAATTTTTGACAATGTACAATTTCTATAATTGTATAAAGTATTGTTTTAGTTTTGTATGTTTGCTGTTAGTTTTATATGTTTTTCTATTGTTAAGTGAAGTTTTGTATGTTTTTTATATTCTTTTTTTTTTAAGCTTTGTCAACAAAATTGTAAAATTTTTTTATGACAATAAAGCAATTTCTTTCTTTCTTTCATTAAACTGTCTACACAATTTTGCTTATAAGTGGAAAAAAAAAGACAGTGGCGCACATGTTTTTTTTAGAAAAATATTCCAGTGATAACCCACATGTCTCTGGTGAACCACCTTAAGAAAAACAATGTGCAATTCACAAAGATGACATTGAGTGTATCAAAATCAAATAAATATGTACCTATATTTTGCAAGTTTCAAAACTCTCCCCAAACAATTCGCGTGAATTACTACGATAAGATAAAACTACCTCATTTTCAACCGCCACTAAACTATGTTAGTTTATTTAACTTCAAACAATTAGCGGAACAACTGTTTAAAAGCGATTAAAGCTACAGGTTTCCTGCCTTGTTTCGTTTTCCTTTGAATTCAAAGCACAAACTCCATGACCATAAAAATATGCTAGCTTAACCCCTTATGGTTCTATGTCCTAGAGTAGTAAGTTACGTTGGTAAAGTATGTAAACAAACAATTAATAACGTAATAATTATTATTATTCATACACTTGTCGCCGTACATACATTTCAACGAGTGTATGACACAAATATAAACACACAATTTAAAGGTTATATGTAGTTCATTTTAAAAACAAAAACAATTAAGATTAAGGCGTTTTGAATTATTAAAGATTATAAATATTAAAATGATACCTACCTCTTCTTCGTCTTCTTCAGTAGCAGGGACCCTCTCTAAACTCATTTAGTCATGTAATATTTAAACAGGATACTTCTGAATGATGAAGGCGTCTTCATTAGCGATAAAAAATGTATAGTTGGCAATTGGAGTGGAAGACTCAAGTAAACATTTCCTCCTTGCACAACAAACGATCACTCTGACACTTGAAGATCACTAACAAAGTAACAAACGTATTTTTAGTTAATGAAGAAACAAACAACAACGGCCACCGACCACGCCTGCCAAGAACAATAACACAACCGTAAGTAAAACCAGGTAAAACGTATCGTGTGTTGGGAGCTTCAGCCAACGTCGCTTTGTAAGTAGACGGGTCGGCAGTTCGACCATTAATGTCCGAACTTACCTTGACCAGGTCCGTAATTGAACTTTTACTTTAAGGATTCGTTAACCTTTTTTACTTTCCCACGATTAATTGGAATTATTATATTTCGGTTGGGTATTATTGTTAGTGTGCGATATACCGTAGCCTTTGTTTTATAAAAATCTGCCATGACAAAAGAGAAAAATAGATCTAAAGATTTTTATTTAAATTTATTTAGCTGCATTTTTAATTTTTGTGTCTGTAAACTTGTATTAGACGCTATTCGTTATACAGGGTGTCCCATAAATAAGTAAAAGTATTTTAACTAGTAGTATAGTTCAACCCCAGAAACACGCCTATGAGGGTTTTTTTTGCGAAAATTTTTTTTGGAAATTTGAATTTTTTTGAAAATTTTTGTTGGAATTTTTTTTAGTTTTTAGTTAAAAAACATAATTTCTTGATAATATGGCAACATAGGTATTAGATTAAATTTACAACAAAGAAAATCCAGAAAAAATTCAGTGGTTCTCAAAATTTTATCAAAAAATCATTTTTTTGGAAATTTTCAAAGTAACATAACTCCGTTATCTTGGACTTATTTGAAAAACGATAAAGAGAAAATATGTTTCTTTTATCGAGATCTACCACACCTTAAAATACTTGCACTTATTTCTGGGACACCCTGTATTTATAAATACACATTTATTAGTCTTTAGGGATTTAAAGTGTGTCTAAAGCTTCATTCATAACCTCGCAATTATTAATGGAATAAATTAGTGGTTTCAATTACACTTTATACTTTTTACTTTACAATTCAGAATGTCTAAAAAAACAAAATGTCATTCCTAGCAAATTTTGAAGTATGTATAATTAGTGGAAAAGTAAAAAGTTTGTTAACATTTTCTACTAATTGAAAATTCCTACCACTAATTTTGACGTTCCGAATGCTTACGTTGAAATTAAAGGAATAAACTTCTATGCTAATTGAAACCACTAATTTATTCCACTAATTGCGAGGTTCAGAATAAAAAATCCCGTTCAGAATCTCGAAATTAGTGAAATAAATTAGTGGTTTCAATCAGCGTAGAAGTTTGTTCCTCTAATTTTAAATTAAGGGAACAAACTTCTACGCTAATTCAAACCACTATTTAATCCACTAATTTCGAGGTTCGAAATAAAGCTTAAGGCTTCTTTCAGAACCTCAAAATTAGTGGCTTCAATCAGCGTAGAAGTATGTTCATCTAAGTTCAATGTAAGCATTCAGAACGTTAGTGGTAGAGTTCAACTGATGGAAAAAATCAAAAAAGTTTTGGTGGAAAAGTAAACTTTTCACTTATGCCACTAATTATCCTTCAAAATTTGCGAGTAATGTCCTTTTAGCCTTTGATTGCCATTCGTCAAGAAAAATTGTGGTTAGAAATGGAAAATTTAATGTTTATAAACTAATTATTAGGGTATCTCTATGGGCACAACTGACTACCGCCAGCTGTTGCTAGGATATTCTATTAACTTTAATTGATTTTTTTAGACATTTTAAGTAATCGTATACTTTTAAGTATATAAAGTATAATCCTTGTTTATCAAGGGTATAATTGAAACCAATAAGTTTGAGGTTCCGAACGAGGCTTAAAACTACAAGAAAATCATTTGACACATATGGAATTTACCTATTTTACTTTTTTACAGAATCTTTTATTCTTGATAAACGTCTCTGCCTAATGTCACACTCCAAATAAACTAGTCAAATATTGAATAAAAAAAAATGGCGGTAAGTTGGCATAATTTTACATATTATGATAACAATCTTCTTTTGACAAATTTCCAACTTTGACGCCATTTTTTTTATCGTATTATCACATGGTATTTCGTTTCGTATAATCCTAATACAAGCAGCTTCAAAAAAGATACAAGTCACTCAAGAATATAGTGGTCTAATATTTTTGAAAACACGTAAAAATAGTTATTTCACACGTATAAAAAGTTCGAAATTCTTGTAAGGAAATTATAATAATAGAATTATTAATTTTTAAATAACTCTACTTAAGAAACCGGAAGGTTGTGGTATTTAGAACATGATATATCGTTGAAAAGCAATGTTATTAGTTTTTTTTTAATAATAGTGATGAATTTAAAATAACAAAGATTTGAGCAATTTTGTAACAAACGGAAATAAATAATATTTTTGCTCTCACTGTGTAATATCCAATGGGTTTATTTAGACAGATCGAATATATCGACTTTCCTTAACTTATAACCCAAAATTTAACTTTAAAAAGATTTAATTCAAGATTTTACCACTGCTTATTCACGATCATGTTTTTGTCAATTTTATACATGTTTCATCTCAAAAACTATTAGAGATAAAATAGGTATAGGTTAGTATAATAGAAAAATTATGAGTTATTAAATAAGTAGTTTTCAAAAATGTAATAATATACTGTCATGCTGAAAATATTTTAGAAAGATGGAGCAGGTGCCTTTAACTAAAAATCCAAATTTTCACTAGTAACAAGTTCCGGAATTAATTTGACCTCTAGTGGTGTCTCCTAGTGGTGTTTGACCCTCTAGTGGTGTTTGACCTCTAATGGAATAAATATTTTAAAAATAATTTTCTAAATATTCATGAGCTCGAAAAAATTTCCGGAATTAATTTGACCTCGTGTGGTATTCGGTAAGAAAATTCCACACCAAATTGTGTTTGAAAATCAAATAATTAAAATGTATTTTTCGATTTTAAATAAATAATCGTAGTTACACGATAATGCAGTTTTTTAATGGAACATATTACATTCTTTGATTTTTTATTTACTCTGAGCTACTACAAGTGGTAGAACATAAAAATTTTATTAGTTCTATACAATGAATTCTTAGCCTGTTGATTTTTACTGATTGTAGTAGCTCAAAAGTGCCATTTTAGGACCTAAAATATTATATTCTTTCATTTTATAGTTACTTGAGCTTACTACAAGTGGTAGAAAATCATAATTTAAAAGGTTTTTCGGAACGCTTGCTGCATGAACAGATTTACAGTGCGTCACAGTTTTGGCAGCAATTTAGACCTTTAAATTGTTGACTTCTACTCGTTGTAGTTACACGAAAATCAAGACACAACACAATATATTCTTTAATTTTACATCAGTTTTGAGCAGTGGCGGATTTACAATTTATGGGGCCCTACGCTACATAATTTCTGGGGCCCCTACGCCATAAGTTGAGTTATTAAAAAACATAATATTTTTTTTTCAAATTTTAACACCCTTTGTAAGTGCTAATTTTATTTTGAAAAGTAAAATAAAACTAATATGTTCTTTTAAAATTTATTAAAATCTAAAATAAAATTAAAATGAAACAAAATAAAAAAAAATACGTAAATATGTATAGGAACAATACACGAGATCAAAATCAAAACATTTTGTAATTTCAGGTACCTATGTTTCAAAATAATTATAAAGAGAAAATAAAATATAAATATATTCGACAAACAAAACATTTTTTCTAATAATAACAAATGATTGAGTTTTAAAACTACAAAAATATAAGTTACTAATGTGTGTAACATACCAACATATATAACAAATAACATACCGAATGTATAAAGATGAAATTAGAAAAAAAATCACTAAAACAAATTCTTTCTTCTAATTTTTATATCGGCAAATTGCCGTATCGTGTCATCGTAATTTATTATTTATGTCAAATCACTTTCTATTGAAAGTATACCCAAATATTGTAATCTTTTTTCTGTCATTGTAGTCCTATATTTATTTTATATTATTGTTAATTTCGAGAAGGAACGCTCGGCTTCGCAACTTGTTACGGGAAGCGTTAAAAATATTTTAAGTGCGGTGTATAAATTGGGGAAAACATCAATTATTTCCTTACTATAAATGATGAATACATTGTTAAACAATTTGAAGTGGCTTCAGGGTTTGTTATTTTTAAATATTGTTTAAACCATGTCTTTGGTTTAAACTGAATGGCTTCACTAACGAGTTCGTCTTCAAGATCATCATGTTAATATTCTATAAGTTTTTTAAGGCATTCCTCATCAGTATTGTCTTTTTTTAAATATCCCCTATATCGAATAAATATTTAAACTTAATTGTCATTTTTGCATAGACAGAACTTCGACGGTGTAAGTCGGTTATTAAAAAATCTAAGAGCCTGTTGATAATTTCAACTCTAAATTTTGCTTTTCCAATAAAGATAGGGGTCTGAGTTTCCTTATTGGTTAGCAATATTTTTCTTTTTTGTTTGTTAGATGTTAGATTCAGCAAATTCTTTTTCAACATCTTCGCTTAATTATTTTGCATTTGCTTCTAATTTATCAGTTTCTAGCTCAGATTTATTTCTAATATCTTGTAAAAACTGCTCTTAAAAAATTTAATAAATGGTTCTGGTCTTTCTTGTGGTTAATTCTTCAATAGTATGTTTATTGATCTTTCTTGAAAACCATGTTAAAATTGAAATCTTGTGACCTTTACTTTCCTGGTGCATATCCAGTATTCGCAAAATATTAGACCAATTGTTAAGTTCGGTTTTAAGCTTTGATTGTACATTTGAGAACAATTTACAAGCTATACAAAAAAACATTCCACTGCTTGGTGAGTAACAAAGCCATTTTCTTTTTATCTGTTGTCCGTTTTTTAGAGCCTTTGAAAAATAACTATTGGAAAAACGTCTTTTGTGCTTTTCACATGTAATTTCAGATTTAGGATATCTAATATTATAGTCATAATTTTGAAAATATGTAAAATCTTTAACTAGACACAGTTTAATCAAATAGGAATCAATACACTCCGGCCATAAAGCTAAGTCTTGATACTTTTCAAAAGTTGTATCCAATTCAACAAATGATTTGACGCAATGTTCCAGTTTTTCTTCATTTTCGGTTGCCTTGGAAATACTAGATTGGCAGGTCTTTGTTTCAGAAGTAGGATCATTTTCATTGTGATTTTTTGAAGTACTTGGCTGGCAAGTAGATTTTTAAAATTGTTTAATATTTTTTTT